TTAGCAGTACCAATACCCTGGAAGAAATTATTCTCTCACTGCTAATTCAAGAGTCTCCTTGTTACACCCTAAACCCAGATGCAAAACAGGCACCATGAAGATCCAGATTTTAAACCTGGTAATACTATGAAGAGAAGGCAAGCATTTTCCTCTGATTTTATTTCAAACCATGTTTTATCTGCTCTCAAATTGTTTAGAGAGGTAATGAATCTGGGACTTAAAGAAGTGTGGAGAACGTATTAGTAACACTTGCATGTCATACAGCTATGGATTTCCACATACACAGAATTAAAGGTGAGCGTATGACCTTTTGTTAAAAAAAATACTCTGGTCATACAGAGCTACAATCCATTACTCTGACTGAGAGCTGAAAAAAAAATTTTAGAATTAGGTGTTAACACAGATGAAGAAAAGTAAAGATTTGAGTGCTGCTTTTATAACTCCTGTGCTTGACATTAAAAGCAGCGTTTTCCCTTCTCCTGAGAACCTGGAAAAAATCTTTTGGTTTTAGGGAGCATAGGGACAGGGTAACCAGTACATAATCATTCTTTTTGATCAGGAGTTCTTTTTGCCTGTGGAAAATGCTGACAGTAAGTGTTACAGTATCAAAAGAGAACTCTGTTCCACAATAAATTTTTCAATGTATTTTCATTTAGAGAAGGACTTTCTTATAAGACACATTGCAATGTTTCACAACAGATGGAACATCTTTGTCTAATTTTTGAGCTTGACTAAAATATGGACTAATTTGCAACAAGAGAAAGCAAGGTGTTTTCAGAATAAAGTGATAACATTTTTAAGACCACAGTATCTACCCATTCTACCAAGAGAAAATTTTGCTCCAAAAGAATACAGAAATTATAAAGCAAATGTTTTCATTTATGAGATTCACTGGAAGTCCTGTTAAATCTAGAAGTGACTTATATAATGTTATATCTATTTTGAAGTAGGAAATTAATTTTGGGGAGATCATAATCATATTCATAATTAAAATACTTTATAAATGTCTAAGTTAACTTCCATATGAATATTAAAATCCATTTCCTTCTGTGGGGAGAAAGGGCAATTAAAAAAAAAAATTTTTAAAAAATTAATTTGTTCTTCATGTCAACTATTGGAAGTGGAAGCACAAAATCATAAAAATCTTTGACCAAAGGCTTAAAAAAACCCCACCAACAAATCAAAACAAACCAAATCATCCACAAAACAAAAAAAAACATAGGACATTTACAGGAAGTAAAAAAATAAGCTCTTAAAATTTAGTGGATTAAAGAAAAGGTGTAAATACTTCAGAGGTATTTGCACATAACTAAGATTTTTTAAGTACCTCACAAATTAAAAACAGATATTGCTTATATCTTGCATTGACTAGATTATATTGATAACGTATTTCAATAAAAATAACTAATTCTCTTATACTACTTGTCTAAAAATTCAGAATAACAAAAAACCCTTTTCTGAAAAAAAAAAGTCCTGCCCCAAACAAATTCAGAAGAAATAATTACCATGAATATCCATGTGATTGAAAGAAATTAAAAATTAACAAAGATAAAAACAATGTTTTATTCAAACACACTACTCTATTAGCAATTGCATCTTCATACATGCCCTGTTTTTAGTGTGCAAACAGCAGTCTAAACCAAGATATATTAACAAGCCATCAATACACTCTATGAACACTGAACAATTTTGGTTATATTTCTCATTCTACCACTGAAACCTTTGATGTATGGGTCTACATAAGTTCTTCCTTAGACTTCTGTTGAAATTAAAACAAAATAACAGTCATAAATGGGGCAATACCCTATTTATATATATTTGTATTTGATTGAGAAGAATAAGCACTTAAATATCCCAGTTAGCATATTTTAATTATTTTTCCTAAAAAATTTGCATGCCATTTGCTTTTCTTTTCCTATTGTCTAGTAAGACCATTTTATCAACAGACTAGGAAAAATGATGTGCAAGTATGCCAGTCTTAAATCCTTCCAATATACATGTTTCATTGAATGTCTGAATTAATAATAAAAATTAATGTCTATTCAAATCTAACAGTATTCAAGACTCCACTTTAAAATAATGTACGGCTGGATTTAGTTTAAACTAACAAAATCCAGAAAGTTCAGTTGTTTCAGAGTTAAAACTTAAAATAGCCATACCCAAGATATCAAACAATGGTTGATTTTACATGCATTGTAGTGACTAGGAATGGGGCTGCATTTAGAGCTACAGATCTCTTTCAGGAAAATTATTTCAGTTGCCTTTGTAAAGCAAGAGAAGTCCTTAAAGAAATCATAATCAAACATTAAAAGTAATCAGCAACAGTTCCTTTTAGATGAGCAATAAGCATGAATTGTCAGCTTTCAAATTATGATTTAGTTAACAAGACTTGTAGAGCCTCAAGTGTTATACCTGCAGTAGGAACAGTAGAAATGGCCATGAAAAGTTCCACATCTGAAGCACTTCAGAAAAAAAGTCTGCACGTTTTTATCTTTTGAACCTCATTGCAATTAGATATTGCAAAACAGTTTACAAAGTCAAGCACACAGCTTGCAATAGCCACACCAGCAATTTTTAAGGGGCAAGTACTGCAGTCCCTTAATTCAGGCTGAACTTCCAACAAAATCAATGGTTCTTCTGCTAAATAAGAACTACAACAGGAAAGGCTAAGAGTAGGAAAATAAAACAAATGTACCCCACTAGCTTTCTTGCAAGTTTCACCTATTCTTTGGGTCAAGAAAAATTCATGTTAACTACCAAGTATAAAACAGCTCTAGAAAAGAAAAACTCATATAGAACAAAATTCAGCACAAAAATGTTCTAGAGCAAATCAACACCTTACGTGGACTCTAATCATAAAAGACAACTTCAGCACTCTTAAAAGATACTAGAGCTTGTAAATGGGTAAGACTCAATTATTACATTACTGCAAAACTCTTTGCACTTTCTAAAAAAACATTTAGACTTGTCTTAAAGTTCTAAATACTTTAATACATACTAAATTTGTAAAAGGAAAGAAAGTGTACATCTAATGAGAATACCATTCTGCAAATCCTTATTCATGGTCGTGAGTCATTAGAACTACTTGTGTATATTAAAGTTTGTAGGATTAGGCCCTAAATGTAAAATCCCTTTGATTCACAGTTGTGAACCAGAAACCACCTTTTTTGTTGAATGAGAATCTATGAGAAATGCTCTGAACCTGTGTCAGACCAAGGAACACTCCATCAAACTTTCACCTTTTAAATATCTCACAAGGGAGCCTTAGATACCTTTGCCTTGCAATATAATCCTGATTTTCATTAACAAGAATGTAACTGCTTTTGTACAGGAAAAAAAAAAAAGTACAAACTCTAACTGTTCAGTGAAATTCTAAAATCCTTATTTTCCTAAGAAAGCTAGTAGAAAAAAAAGCAAAAAAAAGTGAAAGGGAAAGGAAAAAAAAAAAAAAAAAAAAAAAAAAAGAAGCAAGAAACAACAACAATGCAGTACCTCCAAAGCAGTTTCTGAACAGACCGAAATATTTATTTATTTGGGAGCATATTAAGCATGTCACCCAAACACGGTCACAGCATTAATAGAAGTACTTTCACTGTGTGTTTAATCACATAAAGAAAGGATTAAAACTGTAAGAATTATCTACTCACAAACCTCAAAGCTTATACAAAGTTAAGGTTTACTCCCTACACTTTCTGTATTCAAAGTTTTCTTACTCGACTGATATTTTTCATACAATACTATGATTTTAGGGTAGCTAAGGCCTTCTAGAGAAAATTATATTCAGAACCCATATGCCTCAAATATTTCTGTAACAGGAGGTGTATTACTGGTAAATCCCAGTAATTCTTCAGTTCTACCAGCCATTAGTTACAACAGTGAGGAAATATGAAATTTACACCTAACTGGATTTGCTTGGTAGAAATTTGAAGTTACAGGGATAAACTGAAATTTTGGGTTTTTAGAACTTCTCTGATTTTATGGTACAATTACTTCCTACAAAAAATAGTGCTCTTGAAGACAGACAGATTTGATTAAGGATAAAAACTGAATTCCAGCTGAAAGTTGGAATTGCTAAAGTCACAACATGTTCATAAAATTTGTTGTACTGTAATATATTCTGCTGAAGATAAAGCCTTACAGATTTTACTACTCCATTTAGTATTTAAACAAATTCACTCAATCCAAGACCAGTTACTATTTTAATTTCAATTGTCTGTGTAAATGGTTAGTTAAGACTATTCGTATATGAGTAGATAGGTTATGATTACTCTGAATGGATTCTCAGTTTCAGCCAAATGAGTACTTTCAGTGCAAAGCAGGACTTGCAATATGAGTGTAGCACAGTCCATATTAATTCCTCTTAATTGTTCAGTGTTTTACTATATAATACCTGTTTGCCAACTAATAATATAAAAAAATAAAATTTCTGACTATTCTGGTACAGATGGCAGGCTCTGAAGACCTGATTTTTTTCCTGTTTTCTGCCTCTTTTCTTGTCAGATAGCTAGTTTATTAATGCCTTTAAAACCAAATTTAACACACTATGTGGAAATACACTCAGCTAACTCTCTATTCTATCCTTTAACACACCCTCCCAACAAAAAAAAATAAAGTTATTGAAAAATAATTTTTTTATATCATCCATACTTTGTTTTTGGATTAGCAACATTTCAGTTGGAGTAATTCCCAAGAAAGGAATATGAGAACAATACTATACAGAGAATTTCTATAGCTCAAATGGATCAAGGCTGTTGCAAACTCAGCTTTTTATACATATTTTTGGCCACTTCATTTCCTTCTGAGCACAGCCTATGTTAATACTTTTACTTAGTGTTTTATAATTTTACAGGAGGAGTGTAAAGAAGAATTCTTTTAACATATAATAAACTCGTGAACAATCCCATCAGAACTGGCCTATTTTGAATAATCTGAATACTACTGTGTACATTTTTTAAAATAAAGAACATATGTAATAAGAGAAATGTTAATATAATATATACCATGCTCATGCTCCATCAACCTTCCAGAGAGTTTTTCAATCACAGGAGTAAGCCGTTCTCCAAAATCAGCTCTCTATTGAAAGGTCAAAACCTGCAATAAAAATGTCATGTATTATAACATATTTCCAACACCCACAGTTTCATGGTTGATCCCCAAACATAGATGTAGGTCATCAGCTTGACCCTCGCATTGTCTATGTTACAGGAAATCCTAATTTTAAAAATACTTTTTTTTAAAACCAAACTGACTTGATTAGGAACACCTGTGATATGCCTCTTTATTATCAGAAGCCTCCTGAAACAAATCAGATTAGCATGTTTCTGCTTTCATTCTTCCCGCAGCATTTTAAGATGAAAGTAAGAGGAAGAAGGAGGAGGGGAAAAAAATAAAAAAATAAAAAGAAAAAAGAAATAGGAATAAGAGGTGTTGTTCTCCCTTCCTACCCACTACCAATCCCTCCCTCCACCCTCAAACAAGCAAACAGGTAAGTTTTTTTAGTAAGTAAACTACTTAATGGAGATGTGATTACTACTGTCATATTTCCTAAAATATGCTGTTAAGTATTTAAATTCTAGTGTTGCACTTTAAGGAGTTTGAATTTTTTTTTTTTACTCTTCAAGGCAGTACCATTTTTACCCTTATTAAAACTCAGCCTACAAATATTATCTTTAATTATATTAATGGAAAAAATTACAGTTATATAATACATTCTGAGAGATGAAATAAAATTTTAATACTTAAGGAAAAAAAAAAAGAAAAAAAATAATAAAAAAAAAATAAATTAGCTGCCCAGATCAGGTAAGAACAAAGTATAACTTTGGCAGATGCAGTAACTATAGCCAAATAGCTATTGGAGGAAATATTGCATTCAAACAGCCAAAATCTTAAATCTGTTTTGACTTTATTTGAACTTTTTCATTTTAGACACCGTAACAAGACACATCCTATGGCTTATAAATGAGTAGCTGATACCTAGATCAGGTCACCTGCTTACAAATACTTCCATAAATTTTTTCTTTATTCTTTAAGAGTATTCCAGAAAATACTACTACTCCCTCACAGCTATGGACTTATAATAAGCACCCTGCTTTAACAAAAAAAAGGAGTTTGTATTTTCATGTATTCCACACACATATCATCTATTTCACCTTTTTTAAAAAAATTTTTTGTTCTTAAACCAAATCCAGGAAAGTTGTGGTTTCCCTCTGTTCTTATATTGAGATTTAACATACTTGAAGATTATATTGAAACTGGACTTACATAAAGCTATTTAAAATGAAAATACATGCCTAAGCCCTATACGATGTGTAATTATCTTTTTTTCTCAGACCAAATCTTCAAGTGAATTTCAGTTCATGATAAATAAAATAATTAGTTGTAACCAGATTCAATGTTGAAAAGTTTATTAATAATCTATTTACTGCAGATGCACTCACTACAGTGTCTGAAAACAAACTAAATAGTCATGGGGCGGGGGGGGTCCTATTTCTAACAGTGGTTTCCTTTAGACATTAATAACGATCACCAAAAGTCACTCCTATCTTTCAGTTTTGAGCAATATAACAATATCGCCTTCAGTTTTAGAAGGCATCTTGGGAAACCTTTAACAAAGTAAAAGCTAAATGTACATTATTTACATTTGCTACTGTTGTGTGCATATGGTTATAAATGTGTGTGTGCGATGTCATCCTTATACACTAGCAACTGTTCATTATTGAGCTATGGAAAAGTGTTAAGAATTAGATTAAGTTTAAAAATTTAGTATTCTCTGTAAAAAGAACATTTTTGTTTGTCTTTAATGATACACTAAAAATATTATTACATGCAAATATTACAATAGAAAATTGACCAACTTTAAGTGTTAGCTGGACTAGAGCTCAAGTTGTGCTCCCTCCTCTAACACTCATACAAATCTTCTGAAGTTCTCACACAGCATTCAAAGCTAAGATCAGAACTGTTCCTAAATTGTGGTAATATCAACTGTATCCCAAAGTTTCATTATTAGAATAAGTGTTTTAAAAACTTACATGAAAGGGTTAAAAAAATTAAAAATCAATACAGACACTGCCTCACATCCTTATGGGCAGAAATTTTTATACCTAGCTTACTCTGAATATTTCTGAAATTGTCCAGTATCCACAATGAAGACATTTTCCAATAAAGAGATTCCTTTTGAAATCCAACTTTTATCTTAATACACCAGTAACCTAAAAATTCAACATAACTCCTGCCAATAAAGCACCAAAAAAAAAAAAAATTTGCAAAGCAACATTTTCGCTTACTAAAAGAGGTGACTGGAAGTCTGTGGCTATACCTCTCTATTCTGTCTGATGTCCACTTTCTCTTTGAGGGGCACATCAATTTTTTTCTATCTTTAAAATACATTACTATTTCTATTAAAAAAATAGATGGCTGTGAGAAGACTCACAGGGGACTACGTTCAAAACCAATTTGGGCAGGCTGTTAAAACAAAATTTTCCAAGTATTACTTATAATAGAAAACCATTTTTTGAAATCAGGTTCTAATGTTAGATATTAAATGTTTAGAACTTATACTAATAAATAAGTGAAAAAAAAAAATCTGCGGAGAACACTTATTGGTGTACATGAAGTTATTTTTAGTTTTAAAAACTTTCTAATAAAAATATTTTTGTTTCTACACAAAAGCCTACAATTTCATTCCCTATTTCTTTCACAAACAGTCAAAACTAGTCCAAGATGCACTCTATCCTTGACAGTTTGTAATGAATGTGAATTACCCAAATCACTTGCACTGGGCCTTTGGGTGTGGGTGGATGACTGCATCTACAAAGCAGAATACCTGCAGCATATTCATAGAATACAATGATAAGTTTATTGGTTCTTCTTACATATTCAGCAGTTAACTGCTCCCCAGAGCAAATAAAGCCCAGTAAGGTCTTATAAAAGGACTGCTAACTGATATGTGGCTACTTTTCCTGTAAAGAAAGCTCCCGTGCTTTTCCATGTGTTAAAGTGTATCAGAAAAGCAGGGATACACCTGTTAGGATAGCTTCTGACACTCAGGATGGGTGAGATGTGCAACTTCACACTGTGTTCACAGGCAGGGTACACAGAGCCAGGTAGTTTGTATGCAGTTCCAGTACTTGCACTTCACTGCAGAATCTGACTTACTAGACATAAAAATAATTAAGGCATTAAAGATTCCAATTGATTTTTCCTTCCATGACATTGCATTTTGGATGGAATAGTAATAAGTACAGAATTCCAGAAGTTAAGGGTAAAAAAGCCCCAAACAACAAACTAAACAGAAAAAGAAACCCATGATACCTTGATATCGTATATGTAGTCTGTCCTTAAAATGTTACTACAATAAGCTTCCCATGAAGTACTAGCCTAACACATTATAATGTTACACAGATACACACAGTCACCACTTTCAAATTCCTGTAATTTATGAAAATTAAAAATTCTCAAAAGTAACTTCAAGCACACATATATATATATATATATACACACACACACAGAGTATATACTTATAAAATGAGAAGGTACCACTTGGAAACTTACAGTATGACTTTAGAGGAGGAAAAGAAAAAAAAAACAAGCTCCAACCAAATGAAGCTTATTTGGATGTTTTTCCTAAGAATTAAGATAAAGGATTAGACTCAAAAGAAACAAAGGAAAAAAAAATTAAAAAACATTAAAAAAAATACACTATGCTACGTGCTATACCTGAGCAAGGTTTAATTGAGCACAGAACTTTAGCTTTCACTTATTGGTAAAATACATACATTTAGATACTTAAGTTCAGTTGATATTTCCTCCAAATGTAACTTTTCCAGGGCCAAGTAATCCCAGTTAATGTTTTACATTTTAACTGAGGTAAATAATGCAAGCAGCTCTACAAGGGTCTATTTAGACTACATGGTTTTTCCCCCTAAATATTTCAAAATAAGGAGTACATCAAATATAAGAAAGGAAAAGTTACTTAAAATACACTATATATTCATATTGGATTGCTTACTGCTTTCATTTTAGCCACACCCACCTTTATGTAATTGTAAAATGAGAGAACAGTGTAGCTGAGAAATAAGAAAGCTTTAAAGAACAGTTGTTTCATGTAGTCAAATATGTGCTAAGCACAGATTTTAATTAAAATGAAAAATAGGTATAAATTGCATGCTACTGAACATGACTATCGCATAGCGGGGAAAAACACACACGCACCTGTACAATACTGAATTATAGGGTTTTTTTGTAAATTAGCTATGAGTCAGGACAGTTATTTCATTGAAAGTGAAAGTCAGTATTTGTGAGTGCACTTCCACAGCGGAGTAGTGTAAATCTCTTCAAATCCTGATATTTCAAAGTATACACAGCTACAGTTGAAACAGCTTTGTGCACATTCCCATACTGTTACAAACGTTTCTGAAAACACTCTGAAAATAATGATGCAGAGCTAAAGAAATGAGTGCTAAATCTCAACAGGATCTTACTAGTATCTCAATTTCAAGGATTAAGCGGAATTTTCTATCAGGGCACATAGGTATGTTTTTCAGAGACAAACTAAGCAGCTATTCCCAGGAAAAAAATAACTGAAAAAGTGTAATATACAAACTGGATTAAAGGAATCCAGGGAAACTAGGGATTCGAGACAGAAAAAACTCCTTGAGCTGTTGGATTTCTGCATTACACAGAAAATACCTTGAATCACAATCCAGTTGCCATGCTGGAAACGCTAAGTTTTGCATTTCACTTTAAGACTGCACGCTCTCAGCCATGTACACAGAAATCTTTTGTACAGCACTTCTGCACCCCAACTCTTCTCTACGTCCCTCCTACGTCCCTCGGTTAACTCGTTATTTTCGGTGGCCGGGGCGCTAAGCGCAAGGCGGCCGCTTCTGGCTTTGAACGCCGCGGAGGGATGCGCGGGGGGGCAGCGGGAGGACCGGGGGGAGGAAGAGGAGCGGGGAAAGGCTGTGACCCGGTCCAACCTCCCAGCCCCAGCCCCGCGTCCCCGCAGGCAACCAGGGGGGGCAGCAGCCGGTCCAGCCTCCGCTGAACGGGCGCCTTAACGGGGGGCCCGATGCTGCATTCGCTGCGCATCCTGCGCGCCAGCCAGCTCGACGGCAGCCCCGGGCGCCCGCCGCTCACACGGCACGGGGGAAAATATCCATACGCCTTCCTGCCTCCCGGAAAAAAAATAAAAAATTAAAATAATAACGATAGAAAAAACCAAACAACAACAACAAAAAAAAAACAGGTCGGGCGGACGAAAGTGAAGAGGGAAGTAGGAAGAGGAATAAAAAGTAACGCTTAGAAATTGTGGCTGGGAAGGAGCCCGCTGGCCTGGCAGCGCCCGACCTCCCTCCCTGCTCCGCCGTACGGTGCTGTCCCCGCCGGCACTCCCGCCACAGAAAGATGCCTTGTGAGCCTGTGTGCGCAACTCCGAAACGCGAGCGCCCACGCCAGAGCCGGCCCCGAGGGGGTTAAACGGCGTCGTGGAGAAAAAGGCACCGTGTCACATATTATGTGTGTGTATGTGTGTGTGTGTGTGTGCATGTGTGTGTGCGGAGGGGGAATCGCCCAGCGCTCAGGCTGCGAGAGATCTCGGAGCCTATCACAATAAGCACGATCGCGTTCATACAGCTACGAGAGACCGAGAGCTGCTGGCCACCGAGAAATGACATAGAAACAACCACCAAAAAATAGCTAAGCCAATGACAAATAGCGACCCGGGTGACAGAGACAGAGAATTTTGTAGGCGGAGAAGAGGAGGTGAATGGCCAGCTCCGATCACAGTATTAGGCTGGGCTATCTATGGGGAGGGTATTTACTCGGTTTTGGGGTGTGTGGGAGGAGAGGAAAAACACCTACAAATAGCTGGCACGATTCAAATGGTCTCGGATTATGTTTCCCCCCCTCCAGTCCAGGAAGGAAACTCGCGTTTAAACGCTACGAGGGGGAAAAAATAGCTCTGTGCAGTAGGGGATGAAGAGCACTATGGTCATTCGTTAATACCCAAAGGGGCAGAGATGATAAATGTGACAGCATGTGGCAGCACGATCGTCACCCGGGTTCCTGCAAAAGGCGGCTCCGTATCGCGACACGGGAAATTAAGCGATTGAGTGGGAGGTGGAGAAAGCGCTTAAACGGAGAAGTTAATCTGCTAACATGGAGAGGAAACAAACGGAGAAAAACCCCCCAAAGGTTGTCCTCTATTTTTTTTTTTTTTTTTTTTGGGGGGG